AAGAGGTTAGCGCGAGAAACAGCCGAAGTGCGCGCACTGGAGTGTAGTGCACACGAAGCAAGCATAGATGACCAGCCAGCGGATGCACGGGCGATAGGCGAGGCGGTCACGGGCATGAGAATGCAGGCCCGCGCTAGCGCGGACACACGGTGTGCACGGGCGCTGGCGAGACAGGTCCGAGCATAGGCGCAGCACAAGGCAGCAGCACGCACGAGACAGGCGGGATACCAGGCGCGGGCGCAAACAAAGCGCGCGGGGAGGAACGCGCGGGGCTGGATGTCGCATACCTTGAGGCATGCGGTAGGGCGGAGGATCACGCGCGCGCGGCAGGAGCGGGAGGCGTAGGCGTGCGCCACACGCCTGGCGACGATGCACGCGCTAGTGGCGGTGCCCTAGTCCTCAAGGACTAGGGCGTGGGCGAAGGCGGCGCGCGGGTAAGGCGGTCGCGTGGGAGGCCGAAGAAGAGAGAGAGAGAGAAAGAAGATCCCTTGGAGTGCAAGCCAAGTTATTTAGTTTTCATCTTGCACAATGATATCTAGTTTAATTAGGATACTTAATATTTTATTGCTTTCTTAAAGTTATAGTTGTATTAGGATTAGATCTATTTGGTGCCTATATAAAGGACCATGCCCTACGTTATTTTTAATCATTCAAGAATCACTAGAAATCCAGAACTTTGTTCTTCCACTTTGCTTTAGTCTTTCACCAAAATACTATTGCAATTTTATTCGTTTCAATAGGCGCTGTTGTGGCTAGAGAAACACTATCAGAGATTCGAGGCGCGGGTTAGCGGCTTATCGGCAATCGAAACACACGATCCTCATCATTGGTGCTTTCATTGAGAGGTGTTGATCGTGTATTTTTCTTCTACCCCATTCCCTTTCTTTTCTTCCTCTTTATTTTTCGTACCTATCAAAAAGCAAAAAATAAAATCGTTCAACATCATACTCATCTCCAATCACGAGTCCACAAAGCAAAGAGCGAAGAGAGGAAAGAAAAGCCATGGCCAACAAGGAGATGAAGGATAAAATCGATAATTTTAACATCCAAATGCGAAGTATGAGCGAGGTTATGGAAGGAAGGCTTGGATCGCTTGACGAAAGTCAAAAAAACACCAACGCCATTGTTACACGACTCGAACAACGATTAGAGGAAGTCTTGCGCGCGTTCCAGCAGCAACCCCAACATCACCGCGACGATCCCCCAAGGCGTGAACCGCGCCGACACGCCGAGCACGCCGATCGCACACCATCACCACGGCGCGAGGATCGACGCAAGCAACGACGCGCGCGCGAACACGACGAGGACCGACGACGCGAGGGTTACGAGCACGAGGAGGAGTTCGACCAGCAGTCGCAGGCGTCCACCTACCGAGAAAGACCGAAGCCCGACAAACCGAGGTTCGTAATGTCCATCTTCACGGGTAGTGATCCGGAGGCTTGGCTCAACCGAATTGCGCAATATTTCAAACTGAATGAAACAGAAGGCCACGACCGAGTAAGGTACGCAGCATTCTACCTAGATGGTGAGGCCAATGTATGGTGGAAATGGCTCTCAAGGATCTACCGTAGGAGGCAACAGGTCATTACATGGGCTGACTTCGAGAGAGAATTGCTCACACGTTTTGGTACGTCCGATTACCATAACTACAATGAGGCCCTCGCACGAATACGCCAGACAGGCAATTTGCGTGAATACATCAAGGAGTTTGAACGACTGGCCTGCCGCATGCGAGATTGGTCTGAGGATGCACTAGTAGGAGCCTTCATAGGTGGGCTGAGATTCGATCTAGCCGCAGAAGTCCGACTAGAGCGGCCAAACACAATGCATAAAGCCATGGAGGTAGCCCGTCGACGAGAAGACCATCTAGTCGCCACACGAAGGGGACGGGCGGATGTGCAATTCACAGACATGCGACGCACGGGGACGAGCCAGGCAATGGCCAGCGCACGGCCGAACGTCAGCAATCAGCCGGCAGGGTTGATAGTAAAGAGGCTGTCTCCCGAGGAAGTTAAACGTCGATGCGAAAAAGGTCTATGCTTCAAATGTGAAGAAAATTTTACGCCAGGCCATCAGTGTAAACAAGCTTTTGTGATTGAAGTAGCCAATCCCGACGACGAGGAAGATGAAATCAAAGGAGAATTGGATCCAGAGGACATCTTGGAAGCATTTAATGAAGAACCTGAGATCTCGATGCATGCAATTACTGGAATCAGAGGACCAAGAACGATGCGACTACCAGTGTGGGTCCAGGATCGAAGGATAATCGTACTCATAGACAACGGTTCGTCATATAATTTCATCAACGCTGATTTGTCTCAAAAGTTGAAGTTGCCAACCACAAAAATCGAGCCCTTTAAAGTACGAGTAGCCAATGGAGAGAGGCTACAATGTACTGAGTCATTTCGGAAGGTGCCAATCAAGTTCAGCGGAGTTACTGTGAAGGCTGATCTCTATGCCTTACCTTTGGTTGGGCCGGATGTCGGTTTGGGAGTCCAGTGGCTCGAAGGGTTAGGCAAGGTGACTACAGACTATCGAACGGGAATTATGGAGTTCAACTCTGGAGGTCCACAAGTCACTCTGAGTGCTGGCAATGAAAAAGGTACCAAGGAGGTAGGACTAAAGAGCATCGAAAAAGTTTGGCGAGGTGGAGACCAAATATTTGCAGTAGTGGTCGAGAACACCGAGGCGCACATAGACCGAGATAAACAACAGCAAGGAGATGTGCGCAAGCTTCTCGAGGAATTTGAAGGACTACTGGGCGAGCCTACGGGACTACCGCCACACCAAGAGTTCGATCGTCGCATACCGCTGATCAATGAGCAGCATGCCATAAATGTCCATCCTTATAGGTATGCTCACTTTCAGAAAGCTGAGATCGAACGGTAAGTGGCCGAGATGCTTGAGTCAGGTCTAATCCAGCATAGCAAGATCCCGTTTTCTTCTCCAGTACTGTTAGCTAAAAAGAAAGATGGCACCTGGAGGTTTTGTACTGACTATCGAGCTCTGAATGCCGCAACTATCAAGGACCGATTTCCTATCCCTAGTGTCGACGACATGCTCGATGAGTTAGTTGGATCACGTTACTTCTCAAAGCTCGACCTGAGAGCTGGTTATCATCAGATTCGACTCCACAAGGCTGACATTCCGAAGACAGCATTTCGTACGCACCAGGGGCACAATGAGTATCTGGTTATGCCATTCGGATTGTGCAACGCCCCATCCACTTTTCAGTTTGCTATGAATTCCATCTTCAAGGAGTATCTCCGTAAGTTCGTTCTAGTATTCTTTGATGATATTCTGATTTATTCAAAGTCGTGGGGAGACCATCTTGAGCATTTGAGAGTGGTGCTCGAAATCTTGGAGGCAAACTCATTTCACATCAAGCCACCCAAGTGTTCATTCGGGCAGAAGATGGTTGAGTATCTTGGGCATTTCATATCCCACGAGGGCGTGAAGGTTGATCCATGAAAGACTGAGGCTATGATCGATTGGCCTAAGACGACAAGTCTCACACAGCTACGGGGATTTCTAGGGCTCAAGGGATTCTACAGAAAGTTTTTCAAGGATTATGGAACCATCGCCAAGCCACTGACAGAGATGACTAAGAAAGGCGGGTTCACATGGACCGAAGCTAGCGAGGAGGCATTTGGGAAACTGAAAGTAGCCATGACTACAACGCCATGACAAGGTTTGATATCTTGTTCGAGGTACACACAGATGCAAGTGACATTAGGATCGGAGCTGTGCTAGTGCAAGAAGGGCGACCCTTAGCTTATCTCAGCAAGGCACTAGGCACTACACGATTGGGTCTATCTGTGTACGTGAAGGAGATGCTGGCAGTTGTTGAGACCGTAAGGTGCTGGAGGCCTTATCTATTGGGCCGACGCTTTTGGATTGTGACCGATCAGCATCCACTCAAGCATCTACTCGAGCAAAGGTTTGTTACCCCCGAGCAGCAGAAGTTCGTTTCCAAACTAATGGGGTTTGATTTTGAGATAGTCTATCGACCCAGTCGACAGAATGCAGTAGCTGATGCGTTATCTCGATGGACGGATGTAGCCGAGCTTAATGCTATCACTGGGCCGACTTGGACTATTTGGGAGGAAGTCAGGAAGGCGCAAGAGGAGGACACCTATTGCCAGGAGTTGCCCCAATCAATAGAAGCAGGTAAGTCAACTGCTATCGACTATGAGTTGCACAATGGTCTGCTTCTACACCGAGGCCGAGTATTCGTTCCTGACAGTGGGCGATTACGTGAGCAAATCATGCAGCACTTCCATGATTCTAAGATTGGAGGTCACTCGGGTATTTACCGCACATTGATGAGAATAGACAATACCTTCTTCTGGCCAGGGCAGCAGAATACTGTCCGAGATTACATAGCACGGTGCGACGATTGTCAACGTACTAAGGCTGACTCACGACGACCGATCGGTCTGCTGCAACCTCTACCTGTAACGCCCCACTTTTATTTGACGAAAGTCAAAGGCTTTTTCAAAAGTCAACTCATTTTTTTTTCTGAAACCATTCATAAATCAGTGGCGCTACTCAACTAAATCACATAAATCATATAAATCATACTCGCATAAATCATAAATCATAAATCCAGTGATTCATAAATCTCGAGTCCAACAAAATTATTCATAAGGTAACATGTCCCAATCCATAGTTTCAAAAATCCCAAAGTCATAAATCATAAATACCAAAGTCGTAAATGCATAAATAATCATAAATATTCTAGCAGGCGGAATAAACAAAAGGAGTCGGTCAAACACCAACACCCCTCGTCTCTGTCTCGTCAGCCGGCACCTACTTAACCTGCATCAATGAAGAGCAGGTGGGAGTGAGCACGATGAACTGTTGTGCTCACCACTATGCACGTAAATAACAACATAATATAGCAAGGTATGGCCACAACATGATCATAAATTAATTCATCATGTCACATCTCCAATCAATACACCAATAACCTCACTCATGTGCACATCTATCATTAGCCATTAAAGGACATACAGCTCTCAACAATGGGAGTGCATACCGAAGGACATACAGCTCTCAACGGTATGGCCTATCATCAGGACTTAGGGAGATTGCCACACAAGGGCACCGTCGAAGGACATACAGCTCTCAACAACGGGGACAACCGTTCGAAGGGCATACAGCTCTCAACGAAGGTTACACAAATTCACATTCAAGCAGTGATCATACCAACCCAACAACAAATAAATTATTTACGGCATAGCAATTTAAATAAGATCCACCTGGATACCGAGATGTAGCTAAACACAGAGTTGAAGGAACAATGGCAAAAGTTCAGCTCGATGAACCTACAACAATTATAATAGCCTATCAACTGACCATCCAATCCAAGACAACACACAAAGCACATATACTTAGCCGAAATCATATCGACTAAGTGACTTGTGGATTCCTTGGCCGAGTTAAGTACTTCGGAGCGACTACTAGACCTAGACACAACTCATATACCTCAAATAAAACACATAAATCATGCCAACATCAATAAAATCTAATCCGAACCTAAACAACTGATAACCGAGTATTAAGACTCCAAAATAAACAAATTTTAGAATTCGGAGTTAGACTTAACCAACCTGAAACTTTACCACATCATAAGGCATACAAAAACACATAATCTCACCAAGTTTGAGACCTAAATTCATCCGGGAGTATTTTTAAATAATTTAAGCAAAAACCGTGTCAAAACCCATCATTAATAGTTCATATAGCTACACTTCGAATTTTAATCCAATATTTTGACACAACACAGAATACCACAAAATAACATACACCTAAAAGTTTTAGCTCACAACTCCAAGTATACTATTTTTAATGAATTTTATAAAATTCTGACCAGAAACTGACTTAATTAATTAAAATAGCTACAGGAGGAGTTTCGAATTGAAAATTTTACACGACTTACAAAATCATGACAGGACAACTCATTTAAAATGTCATGGCAGTTGGACAATCACACGATTTATCATGAATTAATTATGATTCAGCAACATGTTCGGTTTAGAAAATTCACAATTCGGCATATACACATCGAAACGACCGAAACCAAAACCAATAACTCAAGCACAACTCTAAGTACCTCTAACTCCAGGATTTCCACGAAACATATCACTCGAAACTCAGTTCGACAATAAACCAAAGTGACGGCAATCACTTTGATATCCAAATCGCATTTAAACTCAATATATGGCTCAATAAAAACATCCAAGGCACGAATTTAACTCTTAATTCTCACGATCAGCAACTTAGCAAGCAATTTAACACAATATCACAAATCACGAAATTAAAACGAGATGAGGTTCGAGCCTAGGTACCAATTTTGGGAAGACGTTCGAACGAAAGAATCAAAACGGGGCAGAAACGGCTTCACGAATGCACCGACGGGACTCGATGGCTAAGCTTCGGCTCGCCCGAAAGTTGTGCGAGTGATCAGCGGGTCCGGGCAGCGATGAACAGGTCCCGACAATGATGGACATCAAGGGAAGACGCACGAAAATGCACGAACAGCGGGAACGGAGTTCGGCTTGCGGGGCTTGCGTGTACGTAGTCCTGCGTGGCTCTCCCGGCTCGCTAGGGACGCCAGAAAACAATTGCGGAGGTACTGATGGACAGCGAGAACTTTTTGGTGGTGCTCGACCAAAACGAGGAGGCTCGATAACTTTGTTTGGCTCATCGACGGATCACAATAAATGGAACAACAACAAGGGCATGCAGCCTCGGTGGTTCGCGGCGGAGCTACCGAACGAAATTGCGATGGAACAGCAGCAAGGGGTCTCCTCGCGGTGGTGGTGGTCGCCGGAAAAACTCGCAGAGGAAGAGCTGCTCACCATGGGGGGTGCTAGAGTTCTTGTGATTTGGCAGCGAAACCTGCTGCAACCTCGCAATGGGGAGGGCTCATGATGGTGACGATGGTCTCGCGACGGCGAGAGACCAAGACACGGCGGTGAAGGGCGGTGCGCGATCGAGATGGTGGTGACCGGATGATGATCGGATGATGAAGATGATGAAGGTGCGCTGATGGTTTCACGAGCAGGTTTTCTCCTTCTGTTCTTGCTCTATTTTCTGTATCGATTTCTTTTCTTCTCCTTTTTTTTTTCAACGATGGGAATATCTTTGCTTGAATTTGGATTGATAATTCACATCAATTCACGGCAATTCACAGCAAATTGGGCAAGGCTTGTGAATTTTGAATTATCAATTATGAATTGCTGCGGCTGATGATAACTCACATGCAAATGATGCACAACAAATTTCAATTGGGCGGCCTGTGATGATAATTCACAGCGGACTGATGCACAACAAATTTTACTATCTTTTTTTTTTTTTTTTGCATGCGTGAGAAATGAGCAGAAGGAAAAGAGCTGCAGGATGTGAGGGTCTGCGTAGGTGAAAAATAGAGCTGAGTGGGGGAAGAATCTCTCAAATATATATAGGCTAGCTTAGGGTTTAGATAACATTCCAATAAAAAAAACTCACAAACAAGAGAAAAAGAGGAAAAACGGGCCGGATACGGGCTAGGTGCGCGGGTTTCGGGACTTCTGGTTTCTCGGTTTGATACTAATCAATAATCGAGCCCGACACGAAGCTTCGAAAATTAAAATAAAACGAGATATAATACACACAAATAATATTTATTAATAATAAACATTTAATCACATAATCATATTTAGGCAATTTAGACATTTAATAATAATAATAAACAATTTGACAATTAGACAAATAGTAATAATAATAGTAATAATAATAATAATAGTAATAATAATAGTAATAATAATAGTAATAATAATAATAATAATAATAATAATAATAATAATAATAATAATAATAATAATAATAATAATAATAATAATAATAATAATAATAGCAATTAGGCATTTAATAATAACATAATAATAATAATAATAATAATAATATTAATGAAATAAATAAATAAACAATTAATCCCAATTATTTCACAATTAAACGGGGAAATTACAGTCTACCCACCTTAAAAGGAATTCCGTCCTCGGAAACTAAAAACATCCAACTCTAAAATACAACATCAAACATGAAGTTCGGATATCTCCTCCTAATCTCGGTTTCAATCTCCCCAGTCGCCTCGGACTAGCCGTGCCGGTTCCATTGCACCTCGACAAGATCAACTGCCCGGGTCCTCAGCTGATGAACCTTCTGGTCCAGTACGAACACCGGTATCTACTCATAGGTAAGGCCTCACTCGACCTGCCACTCGACGAAGTCCACTACGTGTTCGGGGTCATAAACTCCGACAACACATGCGGTAAAGCTAACCGGTAGGCCAAGTCTTTGACTCGTGCGAGATACTGAAAGAGTCCGATATAGCGAGGCCGAAGCTTCCCCTTCTTCCTGAAGCGAACCACACCCCTCAGGGGTGCGACCTTCAGGAAGACATTTATACCAACATCAATCTCACGGTGATTACATAGTCTCCAATCGAGACTCGAGACTCCGTTCGACAATGCAGCACCTCAAATTCCTGCCGTCTCGAGAGACATCCCTCTCACGGCTAAGCAATAATCAACAAACTCACTTGATCAAGCATTAAGTGATTTAGGCAATTCATACATTGGTTCAGTGGAACTTGGATCTCTCGGTTCAAGGTTCAGAAGAAAAAGTTCAAGGGGCTTCTCATCACATTCCGGTACAGAAACTGGTTGAACGGTTCAAAAATGAATCAACGGTATGGTCGATGCACTGTCCCCCGAGAGGTGGCACACTCGCTGGCGCTGCATAAGCGGGGCGCTGGGACGTGGGTGTGTACCTGTTCGAAGAGCAACTGCAAGGTCAAGCTTTGGCCGTATGTACTGGCATGATGAGTTTGGCGTCCGGTGATGGCGGCTGCAGCTCACGTGCGAGTCAACGGTCGGCCGTGCACTAGCCTTACGTCTCTCAGCACGGACATGCGTGCTCGGCCACCACTTTGCGTGGCTACACCTGGCCAGGGCCGGCTTTGGGTTAGAGGTTTTGAGAAGAACTTCACCAAATCAAAAGTAAATATTTCCAAGGTAATTGGGAGGAACAAGGGTTTTCCACAAAATTTTGAACGACAACAACTTGGGGTTTAATAAAAAATGATTTCTCCCATCATGCAGGTATAGAACAGCTTTAATAGTTTCAAAAGTTTCAAATTTTTAAATAGGCATAAACCGAGTTCCAAGTTCACCACCTTTCCTGATCAACCACAGTCTCCATCAAACAAACAACGATAGAGGTCGGGTAAAACTACCCAAAGAAACGAGGATCGGTTCCTCAGCCAGGAATAATCCCAAACATAGCGTTCACTACCGTATAATGAAACGCTTGGCTCATTCTACTCTTCCGACAAACAGTGTCGGCCGTCATGTCAGCTCTTTCTCAAGTAGCTAACCGTGCCGGCAGTCCTAAATGAGCTTCAATGATTTCGAATATCAAAAGCGAAGACGACCATGTTCTTCACGATGTGCTTGCACCAGGCACGGCTACCCTCCTTAAAATATTCTCAAAATCTTTTAAAGTGGAACAACACTTCTCGACTCCCCAACTTCATATTGAATTAGAGGCATCACAAAACAAGATTCTCAACTTACGAGGATAGATAAAGATCATCAAAGAATTTAAAATGTTTAACTCCATCTGAGATCTCATCCGATGCAAAGGAAGAGAAGGCAAACCAAATTCTAAAGCACTGAAATTGAGCAGAATAAAGGAGTCTCAAACACAATTCAGAATTTTCTGCCACGCGAAAGGAAAATAAATGATGGTCTACAAGGTTTTCGAGAAAGCAAAAACTTAGGAAAAGAACGCAAGACTGATGTGGCTACACGAGTCCACGATTAACTTCCTCCATAGTCGATTCAAGTCATCCCTAGTTAGTCCTGCTATCGATAATGGTCCTGGTCTGAAGACACTAAGCAACACTTTTTAGCGAAAGAACTGCCAAAGCCTGAGCTTAATACGACATAATACTAATATATATATGCCACAATTCTAGAGTTCGCCAACAAATACTAGAGTTCAAGCCAATCGAAGGTGGATAGATTTTCCTAAGCCCCAAGACATAACACATAGTTTAAATAAACAATCACCTCATAATTAATCTCAACATTATTTATGACTTACATACCTCAAGCGGTGCGGCATT